CCCCCCCCCCCCCAATTATGCAGTGGGAGGACCTAAGCTGTGCGCTTACACTTCCAAGGTGTCCATCATTAGAAAGGCCTTTTTTCATCTAATTACATTGTTTTTAATTATTAAAAAAATTGAATTAATTAATTAAAAAATTAAAAAATATATTTAAATTAACCAATACTTTAATCCATGCTTTAAAATGCAAGTGCTAATATATATATATTTATTTATTTTTTGATTATTTATTGATATTTTTCTGATCTTACCACCAGTAAATGTCAAATGGTGTAACCATTAAATTCTGACTCTGGCTGTATTTACTAATGTGAAAAATATATCTTAATTAACCACATTATTATGAATTATACAATTACAATTTAACTTTATATCATCTTTTGCTACATATATATTTTCTAAAGAAAAAAACTCTCTCTCTCTCTTTCTCTCTCTATAAATAAATAAATAAATCATATTTCAACTGTTTTTTTTTTCCCTTGTCGGTGCAGGGGTGACGTATCAGGAACGTGTCTGAACCCTGCAAGGGCTTTCGGTCCAGCTGTGATGACCAACTGGGTCTACCACTGGGTTTACTGGGTGGGACCCATCGGTGGAGGTCTGCTGGCCGCCGCGTTGCTCAGGTGAGAGAAACCAGATATGACTGAAATAATTAAATGAATAAATAAATAAAATGTCATGTGTGGTGAGATTCACAATGTCTCTCTTGTCTTTCAGGCTCGTTCTGGGTGATGATAAAATACGAGTCGTTATGAAATCATAACAGCCTCTATTGTGTGTGTTTGTTGCCCTGCAGGCCACAATAAACCTGTAAAGATTCGTTCCCCTGTCCATAAAAAACGTACATTCTACCGTTGTGCGTGTATGAAGGGAAAAACACTTTTCAGGAGACATACAGTAACAAAACACAGTATAATCAGTTTTGGATATGCAGTTTATTCCATAATTTGTTTCATCATGAGATACATGATCGCCCATGGCAGACCGCATTCCACACTGTAGGCAGCTCAGCGGTATTTCTCTGCGAGAGCCAGGGACAAGCCACAGAAGAATTTATCCATGGCGACGTGGGCCTCGGGGGTGAAATCCTTCGGGAACATGCTGGCGATCACCACGAGAATGCAGTGGGACAGGATCTGTGGATCACAGAGGAAAACAATTCAAGGCAAGTCTATGTAACACTGCCAAAATACATCTCAATAGCAAGAGAAGAGTTGGATACTTTAACATTCCTCCCATCTATAGCTTAAAATACGAAATGTGGAGTGCAAAACATGCTCCAAGTTCAACTTCTGAACTGGTGAATAGCTTTTAAAAACAAAGACGTCTCCTTCTTTTGTCAGATTTCACCGAAATTAAGTCAAGACTAAGTCTAGTCTTAATCTATTTTTGCACAACACCAATGCGTAACTTGCGCGTAAATAAAGCTCTACTCGTGCGTAAAAGTGCGCACAAGTCACCCTAACCGGTATAACGTAAAATGAACTGCCAGAGCGCAATCTCAGCGCATATCTTTTGTCATGACGTCAATGACCCCCGTCTCACCTTGAAGTTGGCCGGGTCCACTCTCAACTGGAAGGCGTGCTGCTCGCTGAGAGCCATCAGGCCGTTGGTCAGGTCGTCGATCTTGGCCACGGCCAAAGCGACTCCAGACATCACATTCTTTCCGTGGTTCTTTACCGGAGCGGAGTTGGGACTCAGGTCAGACCAGTGAGAGAAGTAGGTCTTGGTTTGCGGATAGACGACGAGCATCCTGTGGAGGAGGAGAGGACGTTAGGTTATGGCTATATTTTAGAAATGGCGCAAACAAATGGAATGGGACTTTCCTGCTGTCAAATTAAAACATGGCTCCAGTGGCGCAATCGGTCAGCGCGCGGTACTTATAAGACAGTATTCAGCCAAGGAATGCCGAGGTTGTGAGTTCGAGCCTCACCTGGAGCATAACTTTAATGGATGTTAATAAGAACATAAACGCTCTACCAGTCCCATTAGTCTGACAAGTACAGCATATATATATATACTTTTTGTCATATATATATATGAGTAAACTAAAAACACGTCTAATACCTCCAACATTAACTTAAAATGGGTAAAACATGGGTAAACATGACACTTACCTGCCCAGAGCGTCAGCCCCAATAGCGTCCGCAGACTTGGACATTTTGCTCCACATGGCCTTGACGGCAGCCTTGTCTTTGTCGGTTAAACTCATCTTGGTTCTCTCTCTCTTCCTCTCTACCTGACTCTGATGCTTTGGACCTCTACTTAAATCCAGTTGCCCGGAGAGACACGCCCATGGCCACCGATGCCAAGCCACGTCCCCCTGACCCTTCCTCCTCGCCTGATAGAAACTTCCGTGGCCGGATGCCAGTCTGAGAGGTGGTATCAGCATGGTTGCATCGTGGGCGTCAGTTGGCAAAAAATATTTACTTGGATAATGCGGCAAAGTGCCCACATGGTCTACAGTATAGCATGGGCGTCTCAGGTCACAGGAGTCAGCAGCAGCGATGGGTTGGATGGTTGAGTTTACTCCCTAGTGAGTGACGTAAAGTTAATGTCAATAAATATGATCTCAAAAAGAGATTAAATTAGTTGCTCTCATTTTAATAAGGGATATACAAGACTTATTTTCCCACTTCATGAACTAGTTCAGCCATTATGAGTTGATGTGTTTTGCTGTGGCCTGAAGCAATTTAAGATCAAACGGAAATGCAACATTTTCAAAAGGAAGTCCATGTTTGTACTCAGAACACTTACTTTTATGAACGTCGATTATTTGTCTATACGGCCTAGAGGCCTCTCGCACCACAGAAGAAAAGTAAAAAAAATGTTTTGCAGTGTGAAGGTTTTCCGTTGACAGGCTCTATTTAAATTATAAGTTTATCCTTCGTTATTTAAACGTACAAACTGTCGAATTTGATTGAATGGTTCTAATTGACACGATTAAGCCATAAAGTGCATTTTGAGCATTTGTATTTAACTCCCACAAAGCAATAAAGAAGTCAGTTGAATGCATGCGTGCACATTCTGCATTTGTTAAAAAAACAGAATTAGAAAGTTAATTTCGACAGCATGCCACGTGCACTCGATTGATCATTTTCTAAAACCAATTACAGTATTACAATTGCAGCCGTATAATATGTATCATTGATTTAATTTCTTTTTTAATTCGGCGTTTTGGCTCAGACCACGAATTTACTCCCTATCAAGGGGAGGATGGCCCCCATGACGCTTATCAGCGTTATTTTCTTCATAATATCTCTGCTACATATACTATAATCTAATTTTGGCATCTGGTGCCAAGGGTGGATACTGCAGATAATGCAGGGTGTTTTTTTAGATAACGCCCTGGCATGTGACACTCTCCGACTGCTTTGCAAATTCAGTGCCATTTGCAATGCAAACTAATAAACACAAACAAAGTTATAATGCATCAGAAATTACACTTGTTTTTATACCTGTTTATATCCTTATCATACGCTACACATATTAATACGTAAATATATACATGTATTTACTCATAAATAAATTATGTTTATTAAAGTATACTTGATGTTTTAATAAATAAGTAATCATTAACATGGTCTCCAAAGCGTCACTGAAAGGCTATATTGCAAGACTCCCGTTAGGATTCAATCAATGTCCTGAGTGCTGATAACAAGGCCCACCCTGCAGGTTACATTCAGTTAAAGGAACGAAACTAGGATAACTACAATTTAGAAAGAGTGTGCAGCTTGCTCAAAATTAAAGCTGCGTGTGGAAGAGGGTTGCTTTCAAACAAGGAAACGATCTGAGTGAAGTGTGCTAACTTGCATTACGTTTCCTTCCCTAGCACACCTTTTTTGACTTGCCACAAGTCACCTGCAGTATTGGGTGCGAATTGCCCGGTTTCTGAAGGTTCACACTGAAAAAATGTTGCCCTTCACGACATATTTTAACAGTCGACGTCAATATTTTTAAATCAGTAATTTTATCAATTTAAAAATATATATATTTCACTAAGTAAATTCCGTGGGGGCCCTGGCATTCCAGAAACTTCGGGAGGAGTCTGCACTGCAATCTGACACTCTTCATCTCCAGCCTATCAGCTGCCTTCTCCTCCAGGGAGGGGGGGGGCCTTGAGACCTTTAAAAAGACGCGGCAGTCATACACAGAATTCAGAATACTTCCCCGCTTTATCTTCTCTGTCAAGTCTGAACTTGAATTAAACAAGAGCCGCCATGGTGAAGTGGAGTGACAAGGAGCGCGCTGCCATTACCAGCATCTTTGCCGGCCTGGACTATGAGGACATCGGTCCCAAGGCACTGGGCAGGTACGGAAGACTCCTGAATTGCAACTGCTTTGATCTGTTAAGTTAATTTAATAAATAAAAAATAAATAAAGAAGTACAGAAACATTGTTAATCCACCAGAATCATTTGGACCTCCACTGCTCTCACCCTACAGGTGTCTGATCGTCTACCCCTGGACTCAGAGATACTTCGGGTCCTTCGGTAACCTCTCCAATGCCGCGGCCATCATGGGCAACGCGAACCTCGCGGCCCACGGTATCAAGGTGCTGCACGGGCTGGACCGGGCTCTGAAGAACATGGACAACATCAAGGAGACCTATACCGATCTGAGCATCCTGCACTCTGAGACGCTGCACGTCGACCCCGACAACTTCAAGGTAAAGTTTCTCTCACTTTATGGTCAGTTCGCAACCACTTAAAAGATGTATGGACTCCTTTGACTTCAGTGATCGTTTTACCTCCGTACAGTTGCTGTCTGACTGCCTGACCATCGTCGTCGCTGCGAAAATGGGAAACTCCTTCACTCCAGATATACAGCTCGTCTTCCAGAAGTTCCTGGCCGTGGTGGTGTCCGCTCTGGGAAAGCAGTACTGCTAAAGCCAGCAGCAGCTTCCGCACCTGGACACCACCAAAAAGATCTGACGTTTGGTTACATGCCACTTGTCTCTTCAATAATTAAATAAAGTCACGCTGAAGCAAAGTTCAATTGTCGTCCCTATCTTTTCTTTCGTGGGTGCGTAGTTACGCATAGCCATCTCGCCATCTTATCACACCGAGGTTTAGTACTGATTGAGTAAAAGAAAAGGCAACATTACAGACACCGAGAAGAACTTGCCAGAATAAAAAGAATCCACATTATTCAAACAAATACATAAATCGAGTTCATGATACTCTTTAATAATGTAGTAACACTTTTTAGTAAAGACATACTAAAGTAATGCTATAATGCATGAATTACTGCGGGGATAAAAAATGATAAAATCACCATGACTTTATGTGATTATTTGACATTTAATCAATTAAGGAATGTTAATTCGCAGTTACTTTACATGAATACACCAAATTAGCAGTTACATAATGCATGCACTTTCTCCTTCCTGCTTTTCTGAAAGCAGAACAACACATATTCTCATCGAAATATCAAAGCTATGCTATTTTCGAGGTGGCACAAATTGTCGCTGTTTATTTCAGCACCAGGGACAGCTCCATATTTACTGAAGCAGGCTATACTACCATATAACTCAGCATTCATTTTTTAAAGTGAAACAATTTGGACCAGATGACTTCTGTCATTTTGACCTGCTTAATTTGTATTATATTTGATCAATGGATGTTAATTCACCTCACATGTTTTCACAATGACTAGCATTGCAGCTTTCTCACAGTTTTAAGATTTTACATTTACATTACTGCTGTTATAATTAGATTTTCAAAAACTGTTATAACTGAAGAAAGAAATGGTAAAAAATCTGGCATCATTACTTCAACTTTATTTTTGCAACAATTGTCAAAAACATTGCCCGACTTGAAAAATAAAAAGGCTTAATGTAGATAATACACATTTGCTAGTGAAATGTAGACATATCAGACATGCTATATTTACATGTTCATTGATGTAATATGGACAGCAAAATTATAATAAATAAATACATCAGTAACTGATACAACAATCCTGATTGTACATCAGCATGTCTGGCAAACAGTCTCCCTTGACCATCAACCAGATTATACCTTGATCTTGTCGTCATGGGTTTCTATTGGTCAGTGAGGAGCGTTGACGTACATGCTCAGAGGTTCCTCATACCGGAGAGGCCGGACACGGTCAGCAGTCACCAAAACTTGTAAAAGTACACCTAAACAAAGCAAATTTTAACGTAACTGTATAGTGCATATATACTAATACGAATACTAATAGGTTGCAAATGCACTTTCGTAGAATGTGTTTATTGTGTATGCTATATTTTAGACTCAAGTCGGTTAGGGGCGTATGACTTCTTCTACGACGGCTTTTTTATTGGCGGTAGCAAGACTCATTGGTGCCAGGCGGCAACCTCCGGTTCTGCCGAGTGAAGCCAATGCGGAAGGTCTTAAAAGGTGCATTCTCTTTACCGACCAGCAGGGGGCGACATCCTATGATTGTAAAAAAATGTCTGATAGTATGAGAACATCACCCTACTTCACACTTCATTTATTACCTCAGTAAACATTGTAAACATGAGTTTATGGTCTCAATCACTAGTTTCAAGTCTTTTTCAATACAGCATGATGCTCATTTAGTAAATCATGGTGCAGTTTGAAGTTAAATAGACCATAAAGCGGAGTATGCCTTAGGGCGGGTTTTCTGTGATGGACAGGTCGCTCCCGTGCCTAGAATGCCTGCTCAGGATTATACTTTATACTA